AAATAGCTATTCTGACAAGAAGAGAAATAAGAATTTTAAATAGGAGGAAAGGAAAAAAACAGTATTTAAAATTCAAGAGAGCAATTATCTAACTAAGTTTTGAAAGCACTGATCAAATACAGTATGCAGTATCTAGGAGTATTACTAATTCTTATACTAAGTTACTCTTTTAATGTTTATGAAAAAAAATATGATATTTGATAGTCTGTTTGTTGGTACTATATTCCTTTTGAGGCATCAATTTTTAAAATTATTTATTGTTTTTATGACATCCATCAGATAAAAAAATCATCATCTTTTTATAGTGGGCATGATCACTTTGTTTCATCCTTCTATCAGCACATATTATGTATCATGTTTTTCTATAAAAGCACATTCAAATACAATAGAATGAATACATTAAAAAATAGCAATGTTGCTTGTTAAAACTGAAAAATTGTCGTGTGCCTAGTTGCAAGAGTTTGGAGGGTTCTGAAAATTTGGTAATGTAATTGCATCAAAATGTAAGTATTATTTCTATTTAATTAAACATACACTGAAAACATAGGTAAAAATATATTTCAGGGTGGCTCTTGGCGAAAACTGGCCAGCAAGGCATAATTTCAAAACGGCCACTACACAAAACCAAAATATCAAATCAAAGAATTGCACAAACTAAGTGTTCATGTACACATCGATCTATTTTCACTTTAAAAAACATCAGAGATTCGCACAAACCTGGCACTGCCCATTCCCTTGACTTTGCCCATGTACACATCGATCTATTTTCACTTAAAAAAAATCAGGAGAATGATGATGTCATATAATGTTAAAACAAAGTTACTCATCACCAAAATTGAACAAAATTCGTAGCCAATCGAAGCTTAACAAACTGCATTTTAAATGACACTATAAAATAACATAAAAGAGGAAATGCATGTTATTGCATATATGGACTACAAAAAGGAAATATCGACATACCATTTTTAGAAATTTCTGTATCTTCAGTCTGTGGCAGACAAAATTCCTTAACAACATCAAAAAACTTCCTAAAATTATTTGAATTAGAATATGCATACTGCTGTCACCACATAAATTCACAAAAATAAGAGTAAAGAATATCCTCCGTTGTGCCAGACTGTCGGTGGCATTTGTTGCATGAACCTTTCTTTTGATGACCCATTCAAAGCCATCTGAACATTCTTCGCCTTGAACCATACGCATTTCCTTTGTACAAACAGGACACTTATAATGATTACTAAGTAAACCTTCATTAACACAACAGCCAATTAATGCTCTTTTTTCTTTTCATTCCAAATCGTACAGAAACTTCAGATTAAACTCATCATATACAGCCATTTTATGGTGTACAGCACAAAATAAGCATCATACTTCCTTACTGACATCCAATGCATAAATAAACCCTTACAAATATTTTCCCATCAGTCAAATTTACCGCAATCACGTCATAATAGCGTTTCCATAACATTCAACTACTCAGGTTACCATAAATGAAACTACAATTTGGCAATAAATGAAACAACAACTTAGCAACGATCCAAGGAGCACCCTAAAATATAGACTAACCCAATTGGCTAACTCCAAAGTCCTATTACGATTTCTTATGACAGAAAACAAATATATTCAATACAGAAAGAAATACAAGAGAGTCCTGATTACTCGACATTCTGTACAACTAAACAATATTTTTTTTTAAATCAATAAATTCTGTTAGTCAAACAGAACATTATCTTTAAAATAATGTGGTGGTTTATTAATAACTACACTGCAATAATTTCTAACATCACCTATATGATGCAAACAGTATAAGAACATTTTACTTACTGTATTTCTAGAATTATAATACATATTTACACACTTGAATGCCTGCATATATTCCTATTTTGTTCAAAGATTTGTTACGGTATTATAATTTTGTAATTTTAGTTTCTTTCTCTTTGTGACACTACTTTATGAAACCTCTATAACAAATTTAGTAGCAGGTTTTGTTCTTTTCATGGAAATTCCAAGCTTCCTTTCAGCAACAAAGTTGCTAAAGAAAGTCAGAAAGACATTATCGATTACCACTCGCATTCCCTTGCATTACTAGCATTGTTAGCAGGTCAGTGTGAAGGTTTATTGCTGTACCCTATTGTAATCTAAAAATTCAGTTCATCTATATATATGTAGTGCCAGTGTCGAATTTTTCGTTTTGTGAGTTGGCAGTTAGATGAGTTGGACTCAAGATGCAGTAAAAGAACGATGATGATAAAGACGTAAATAAAAATGTATTGAAGAAGTTAATTCAGTTTATAACTAACTTATTTGTTAAAAATGTAAATACTTTAAATGTAATTAAACATGCTGTCCTTTCAAATAATTTCTTAGATGTCTTTTTCTAGAAGGTATTACCACAAAATGAAGAGTATGTCTGTGTGTGTCTTTCATTTCTGCTGCATGCAAGCTAATACACAGGGCTATGAAGTTTGGTAAATAGGAGCATTTAGACAGTGCAAAGCAATTTTTTTCAAAATTCGAATGAGATTTTTTTACTTTATGTTTTTTGATGAAATCCCATCAAATCCGTAATTCTCTCTCATTATATCAGCAGTGTTGCCACTTGATTAAAATGACAGGGACAATTCTGTGCAGTTTTTAAATTTAATGCTTCTCTTGGATATTGGACATTTGTCGAGAGAAGACAACAGGAAGATGATTAATTTATTTATTAGGATAATTAATGTTTGTATTTAGGGATATTGCTTATTTCATTGTAATGTTTTTATATGTTAAACATTTTTACTGAAATTAGTGTTTTTTTAGTCCAAAGGGACTTTGTTCCTGAAGGACTATTGTTTTCTTTTTGTGATTTTGCATCGAAAATTTTAAAAGGCTGTATCACATTTCAAATTGCTGCCTGCCACCAAAAACAATGGTACCTAGAGCCATCCAATTTTGAATCATGTAATCCTACTGCGAATATGGAAATCTGGAATTTGTTTTATTGTCGATTCATATTTTGTACAACATTAACAAATTTTTGATTAAAAAACTCAATGATTTAAATGTGAGCACAAATGTGAACACTCTACAAGGAAAAAAAAACCTTTTTATCTCTAGCATTGTGGAACTGTGTATCAGAAATTCTAGAGATAAGATTTTGCCACATTGCTGTTGAACTGGATTTTATAGTTTAAGTGCAAAAAACAGAATATTTAATAAATAAAGGTAACATACAAAATGCTTTAAAAATGCCCCTTTCGACATAGTTTAAAATCTGAAACCTTTCAGAATATTTTTTTAAAATCAAAGTTGTTCTGCAGAGTAAAATTCTGTGCAATTTTTAAATTTAATGTCCCCATTAGGCATTTTCCCAGCACCTTTAAAAGCCAGACGAAGGCTAGCCATGTAGCGGCTAGTTCGACATAAATTTTCTAAGTTTATCCAGGTTCATAACAACCGTGTTGTCTGCAAGTGAAAATTTTGAACAAGGGGGGAGGAGGAAGAAAAGAACTCGGCAAGATAATGGAAATAAAATTAGATGCTTTAACCCTTTGAGGTTCAGTGCATAAAAAAATGTTTTTTTGGGGAAAAATAACTTTACACATAGATAATTAGCCCCTAATAAAATAATGTTATTTCATGAAGGAAAAAAAAAAAAAAAAAAAAGGTAAACCTTTAAGGTAATTCATTACATGGTCGGATACCACTTGTCTCACCGCGCATCTAGAGCAATAAAATGGCATCTTTGCCTGAGCATAAATTCTTCTTACATGCTTATCTAAAGTGCTAGTTTTAGCAACCAAATGAATATGCAAGATATAAAAAAAGTTTTTCAATAATCATCTAGAAATTATTGATCATATTTTCAAAATTAAAAAAAAAAATTAAAAAATATTACATAATTTTAAAAAATGCTCTCTGTACAATTTGTTAGCTATTTTTTAATTATTTCATAATAGATTTGAAATAAAGAAGATTTTCGCTCCAGTACTTTATTTGCTACACATTTGAAAAGGAAGATATTTAGAAGGCCATCTATGTTTATTTACATTTCACCTCTCTTTCCTCTGCTTAGGATATTTTTCTACGGTGACTCATGCTCACATACCATTCAGTATTCAATGACATTTCATGTTACAGAGTTATATTTTCCTTTCTTTTGGAAAACATACTAAATATTTTTCAAGTTTTAACATTATTGCAATTATTAAAAATATAATTTGCATTATCAACATATAAATGAACATATTGATTCTAAAATTTTGAACATGCTGCCATCTATTTGCAGCAATTTTTACATGCGCGATGGGACGTATTTGTCCACCTTTTAATCTCAACCATTCTTAATAAATATATATGAATTCAAATAATAATTTTTTTATAGAAAAGGAAACTTTCACATAAAATATTCATTCTAACACCAAAAGTTGTTGTTCAGAAGATTTAAATTGCATTAGAAATTAAGAAAAAAAATTTGCTTCAAAATTAGACCTGAAAAGAATTTTTATTTTACATTATTTCCAGGAATGAATACTAGTGCTGCCATCTGTTATACATTTAGAGAACTAAAAGGCATAATTGTATGTATTTTAAATGGAATTTTGAAGCTTTCATCTGGGAGATAAAAACTTATAAAAAATGGTGGGACGCCTGGTGTTCCACTGCCAGTCAAAGGGTTAAGACACAAGACAAAGAGAAAAGTATTAATAAAATTGCCACGGATTTAAGTGTTGAATGAATGATTATGAGTTGTGAATATCCCATCCTTTCTTTCATAAAACTCAACAATTTCAATAACTCATCAACCTCTCAATCCACATTAAATTGAGTTTGCAAGTCTACTGTAATAATAATGGGGGGAGGGAAGAATTATGAAAGTGAACACCTGGGTTGCTTGTGTTCTTGCAATGTTTTGGTGAAGAAACGGATAAACATCTTTAGTTGTAACAAAATTAAATGTCATAATTGAACTTATGTAAGATTACATATGCAATCAGAAGGGAAAAAAATAAACATACCACCATTAGATGAGTATTTCTCAAACCAACACATGAGAAATTTTTTAAATAAAATCTACAGAGAGTCACAGCTTTACAATATTTTTGGAAGTTCCCAATAGAATTCATCATTTGAAACATTCTAAAAAAAAGAAAATATTTTATAACCACAAATAATAATAATAACAATAACACAATACAATTCTTTAAATTACAATACGCAAGATATTTCTAATGAGAATCAGTTTTCTGTATTTGCAAGCATGTAGTTTTTCATTACTTATAACACATTAAAATCAAATGAAATATAGGTAATTTTAGCCATGCCACACCCTTTTAGTGCCATACTGGCACAGTATGGCTTACTTCTATCCCCTTTGGCTTGATGAAATGGAACAATCAGGAACAGCAACAAGAAATATTCTCTAATTTCATAACAAAATCCAAATATTCATAACATACCCAATTCCAAATTCGTATTTTCAATATTTATCATAATTTTTTGGGGGGGGTAGGACTTTTTAGGATTGCTTGCACAAGCGACGAGAACAAAATGGTCATTTACCAAAACAAAGCCAAAAACATTTAGCAATATATTAAAAAAATATTTGGCTGATCTTTGGAATATGGTAACTGGTAGTTTGGCAACATTTTGGAGGCGATAAAGGTTCCTATCTAGGACTTTGGTAATAATGTGAGAAGTACTCAGTTCCGATTACGCATTATTTTGTGTGAGGGAAATGAGAGATCATGAGATATGTCATGTGACATTAATGGACAAATTACAGTTCTTCAATCGGAAAAGGGAGGGGGGAATCTGGAAAAAATCTGAAAATTTTGTATTTAGCTTTATTCTGTGTTGTGTGAAACAGTGTTGGTTAATTTTTGGATCCCATGGCCCTAACTAAAGTGAATTCGAAATGGGTAGTAATAAGTGTTTTTTTAAGGTTGTGCGAGATAGAAGTAAAGATGTTTTGTTAAGTTTTATTTTACCTGGTACCTTGCTGTGAACTATAAGTATGATTTTAAAGATCCTGAAATAGAACGCACTACGCTGCTTTTTATTAGCGGAGGAAATAAAAAAAGTTTATCGGCCACATAAAATCAAGATTCTGAAGAAGATTAGGTAAGTTTGTATTTTTAATTATTTGAGATATTATTTTTATGCATTGTTCTAATGTAAGGAGTAAATAAGTAATGGTATTACTGGAAAATTGTTATTAGCAATGATTTAGTTTAAAGTAATTAGGATTGTAAGCTAATTTTTATTAATTTAATGTATGTGCTTATTTATATTTTAAGTAGTGTTTTTGAATTTAATTATATTTTAATTAATGATAGTTATTTTGTAATTATATTTTGTAGGAATTTGGATATGTTTTCATGGAAGTAAACGTGCATGGAAATAATTTAAATATTTGACACTAAGTATTTTGAACCATTTATAATTTTTGCAGTATGAATTTCGTTGTGACGTTTTATAATATATAGATATTTAGAGGTAAAAGTTTTTGGATATTTTATTTATTTTATACGTGGAAATGTTCATCTTTGGAAAGAGTATATATTTTTTTCGCGATCAGGTAATTTCATATATGTTCTTTTTACCGGATTTAAAGATTCACAAAATTTCATGCATTTTCGTGAAATTTTTCTAATTTATGAGAAAAAAGCAGTGTACATGGATATAGTGAAGAGTGTGCGCAATGCCATTTTTTGTGCAATTCTGGGATTTTTTTTAAGTAAAAATAAGTCGATGTGTACATGGTTTAGTGATATTTTAATTAAATGATAGTTATTTTTGGAATTTTATGTTTGTAGGAATTTGGTATACGTTTCAGTGGAAGTAAACGTGCATGGAAATAATTTAAATATTTGACACTAAGTATTTGTAACCATTTATAATGTTTGCAGTATGAATTCGTTGGTGACGTTTATAATATAATAGATAATTTAGAGGTAAAAGTTTTTGGATATTTTATTTATTTTATACGTGGAAATGTTTCATATCTTGGAAAGGGTATATACTTTTTCGCGATCAGGTAATTTCATATATGTGCTTTTTTACCGAGTTTTAAAGATTCACAAATTTTTTGCATTTTCATGCAAATTTTTGTAATTTATGAGAAAATAGCAGTTGTAGATGGATAAAGTTAAGAGTGTGCAATGCCATTTTTGTGCAATTCTGGGATGTTTTTTTAAGTAAAAATAAGTCAACGTGTAAATGGTTTATGTGTATGTGTATTCTGAAAAAATGTGCAAGGAGTTTGCGATTGTGCACTTTTTCCCAATTTTGCCAGTTAATATTTGTCATGATTAAGCAGTTTTTTGTTACATAAAATTTCTAACATAAGTGTAATTCGGCTAGTAGATTGTTGGAAAAAGTGTTCAGTAAATAAAAAGAAAAGAAACATGTCTTTACTTCGTGAAGACGAAATGGCGGCAAAAAAAAAAAAAAAAAAAAAAAAATAGAGGGTTGCTGTAGCAGAGTTGGTCGCCAAATTTTCGCCAAAAAATTGCCAAGTTACCATAATCCAAAGATCAACCAAATATTTTCATGAATATACAAAGAAGAAAGCTGTATATTTATTCAATGATTCGATTCTTTCAAATTAGTCAAATGCTCTTCTTGCTGTGGCAGATAGAAACACTGCAATGCCATCCGAAAAATAAAGTTTCAAACCAACATGCATACAAAGATCCTATTGTATATATGAAAATTTTTATTTATTATTATTTTGTTCCAGTTTTTCTAAATAGTAAGAAGAACTGAGACATATATATATAACATCCTTATTATAGATATTTGAGTTTTCAAATGACTGAACATGCTGCTAAAAATCAAAGTTTGAAGTATTTGATTAGAAACAAGGACTTTCAAACTTTTTTTAATAACTCTTGCAACAATAATAACTGCATTAGAGTTATATAAAGGAGCTGAGCAAAGGCTTAGTTGAACTATAACTGCAAAAAATCCTTAGCTTCAGACAGAAATTAGTAAGCTATCGTCATCACACAAAACATGATGCTGCATAATTGAAGTAAAATAAGTGAAAACTGCAAGATGGCTGCTTCCTTACATGAGAGATTTTAGGTAGTCTATATTTTGGGGTACCCCTTGGATTATTGCCAAGTTGTAGCTTCATTTATGGTAACCTAAGTATTTTGCGGTGTATGTTTTGGAAACCCTATCATGGCATGATTGGTTGCAATGTGTGATCGCCCAGATTTTGATTGTTCGGAGAACATTTCTCAAAGCTTATTTCTGCATTGTATGTTAGTTAGGAAGTATGTTGCTTATTTTGTGCTTTACACCGAAAATGGCTGCCAGTGGTAAACTAGGTGTTTGATGGTACAGAACAAGGAAGTGCAAGGTGTTTTTTTGAACTGGTTGAGGACAGAAAAAAAGAAACTTTATTGGAAGTAATTCAACGGAATATCTTACTTGGAACAATGATTATATCTGATTGCTGGAAGTTGTAGGACTGTCATTCTGATAATGGCTTTGTTTACCTCTCAGTAAATCACACAGTGACATTTAAGGATCTGGAAACAGGAGCTCATATCAACACTATCAAAGGTATGTGGGGTGTAATAAAAAGGGATTTTTGCAAAAAATGCCATTGTGAGATCGGCACTACAGAGAACATATTTGTTTCTAACTTTTGTGAATTTACGTGGCGATGGGAGTATACAGATTCTAGTTCAGGTAATTTTAAAGAGTCTTTGGATTCTATTAAGGTATTCTGAGTGTCACACACTGAAGACATGTAAATTTCTAAATAAGGTAAGTAAATATTTTCTTTTTGTACTGTGCAGATTAGATAACTTATTTCCTTGTTTTGATTTAAAATGCAGTTTATTGAGATTATAATTTTTTATGTTTTAATTATGTTTTATTGCACTTATTGTTTCGGATGCCATTTTACTTTAGAGGACGTTGCATGTAAACAAGAATGACACCAAAAGAATCGCCAATTTTCGTCAAGGGGGACCCTGAAATATATCACCCCCCATCCTGAGATTTCAATTAAAATGCCATCATATGGTTTAACTAAGCCTTTCTTGGCTAATCTCTAGAATATGGTAACAGGTAGTTTGGCGACATTTTGGCAAGGTGATAAAGGTTACTAGCTAGGACTGTAGCAATAATCTGAGAAGTACACAGTTCGAATCACAGATTATTTTGTCTCAGAGAAATGAGAGATCATGAGACATGTAATGTGACGTTTTCCGGAAAATTTCTATCATGATTTTAGCTAATAAGCACTAAGAAACAATTTCGCTGCTAAAGTGCAGAATCGCCCACTTATTTGTTTGGCGCTTTTTACAAGTAAGAAGAATTGGATTTTTGTCAATTTTCTTTGAATTTTTAAATGAAAATAGGTCGATGTGTACATAGATAAAGTCAAGAGTGTGTGAATGCCATTTTTGTGCAATTCTGGGAGGTTTTTTTAAGTTAAAATAGGTTGACAAGTACACGGATACCGTGTAAGCGCAATTCTTAAAAACGCGGCAAGCAGTTTCCAATTCTGCACTTTCTCCCAATTTTGCACGTAATTTTCCTCATGATTAAGCATTTTTGTTCCATAAAAGTTCTAGTATAAGCGTAATTCGGCTAACAGATTGTTGGAAAAAAATGTTTAGTAAAAAAAAAAAAAACATGCCTTTACTTCGTGAAAACAAAATTGCGTCCAAAACAAAACTAGCAGGTTGCTGTAGCAGGGTTGGTCACCAAATTTTCGCCAAAAAATTGCTAAGTTACCATAATGTAACGATTCTCCCCTTTCTCTAGGTTCTATTAACCCTCTGAGTGCCACAACTGGCTTTATGCGGTCATGAGATTTTTTGTCACTTGCTATATATTAGCTTATAATTTATGATACTTTGCTTTCTTACTTTCTCTAATAATATAAATGTCATCTTAACAAATTTAAGCTTATGAAAATACAGGCTAAAATAAATGAATATGCTAATTTAGCTAATAATGGCTTTTTAAATAGAGGTATTCATGACAGATCTAAAAATCTGAGCCACTCAGAGGGTTAAAGTAAGTATTCATTTCAAATGGGTGATGATGCTCATTATTACACTGTTTCAAAAAATAACTAAGACCTTTAATTTCCAAAAATTTAATTACATAAAATTTATATTATAAAATATATTTCTTTCTTTCCTTATTAAGTGAATGTTTACCTAAACTTTTTTTCACACTAAGTATGTTTCACAAAAATGTAATATCTACATTAAAAATTAAAAACAACTCTTTAAAGCAGAAAAATGTCTTTAGACACAACTGAGACTGAAAACGTAATCATCTGTAGGATATATTATATGGAAATTTAAGATATTACTTTACACTGAAGCAACAAACATCTAGCAAATCGTCTTTTTGAATTCTTCAAGAAGGTTTTCAAGAATGCACAAGCGATTTGATTAGAACAGCATGTTTTAAAAAATTTCGGTAAAAGTATAGTTTAGGGTACCCCTAGGCAAAACTCGAAAATTTTTGGCGGTACATGGATACCGATTTGTGCAATTATTTGACTTGTTATTTTGGCTTGCGAAGCCAAAATAACAAGACAAACAATTGCACAAACTCGGTATCCATGTACACATCAACTTATTTTCACTTAAATTATTTTGGCTTGCGAAGCCAAAATAAAATCCCCGAATTTTACAAAAATGGCATTACGCACTCCTTTGACTTTATCCATGTACACGTTGACCTATTTTCACTTAAAAAAAATCCCAGAATAACACAAACTTGCATTGGACACTCCCTTTACTTTGTCCACGTACACATCAATGTATTTTTCACTTAAAAAAGTCAAAGGAGCACCAAATTCTACAATATAGGCAAACAAAAAAATACATAATCTCAATAAAATACATTTTAACCAAACAATAAAATAACATAAAAAAGGAAAACATATTATATATTTAAGCACAACCAAAAGCAAATATTCACTTACCATGATTTTCGAGTTCGCTTCGTACACCAAGAGCCACGTAGAAATCAAAATATCAATGGCTAATCTTTGGAATATGGTAACAGGTAGTTTGGTGACATTTTGGTAAGGCGATAAAAGTTACTAGCTAGGACTTTAGCAATAATCTTAGAAGTACACAGTTCGAATCACAGATTATTTTGTCTCAGAGAAATGAGAGATAATGAGATATGTAATGCGACATTTTCGGAAAATTCGAATGGGGATTTTAGCTATAAGCACTTAGAAACAATTTCACTGCTAAAGTGCAGAATTGCCCACTTATTTTTTGGCGTTTTTTTTTACAAGAGTAAGAAAATCTGGAATTTTGTCAATTTTCTTTGACTTTTTAAGTGAAAATAGGTCGATGTGCAAAGTCATGGATAAAGTCAAGAGTATGCGCCATTTTTGCGCCATTTTGTGCCATTTTTGCGCAGGGATTTTTTTTTAATGAAAATAGGTCGACGTGTACATGGATACCGTGCATATGCAATATGCAAACGCGGCAAGCAGGGGGCGATTCTACACTTTCTCCCAATTTCGCACCTAATCTCGTCATGATTAAGCCCTTTTGTTCCATAAAAATTCTAGCATAAGCGTAATACGGCTAGCAGATTGTTGGAAAAAATGTTGAGTAAAACAAAAACAAAAAAAAAAAAAAAAACACCGGTTGGTCGCCAAAGTTTTGCCAAAAAATCGCCAAGTTACCATAATCCGAAGATTCACCATATCAATCATTCAAATGACTTTTTCAAACCAGGTACTCTTTCTGATCGAACCTTCACATAATGACCATCTGAACCTTCTTCCTACAAATCCATCTAAATGGTTTTTATGTTCGACTAGATACATATAATTCCTACATACAGGACACTTAGAATGGCTACTAAGTAAACCTTCATTTACACACCAGCCAATTAACACTCAATTTCCCCTTTCGTTCCAAATCGTACGGAACATTTCAAATTAATCTTACTACATTCGGCCATTCTACCATCTAAGAATAAAACCAACACACACCACAAAAACGTTTACAAAACATCCCATGAATCAAAATTTCCCAGAATCATGCATCCGATTACGTCACAATAGGGCTTCCATAACATTCAACTACTCAGGCTACCACAACAACATGGCGATAATACAAGGGGTACCTTAAAATCTACTCTACCCAAAATTTCATTTTACTTTTTTAACTCGTACTTTTTCAAATAGCTACTATTTTATGATACGTATACATGAAATTTTATATCACAGTTATAATAATGCTATATGTTTTAATATGCACTTATGAACGTCGTAAACAACTTTTTTTTTTTTTTTCCTTCAGAAAGTAATTGAGGATACTCCGATGACCGTATAGAAAGTATGTTCGTATTGAGTTTCCTATTTTTGTTACATATAACTCACATAGCATCGGGAGATTTTCCATAACCATATTTTTTTCCAAATAACCTTAAAAAAGCCTTAATTGAAATTTACTGCACAAACCGGAATAAATTAAGCTTTTAAAGAATAGTAAAAGACCTTACAAAAAATTTCACATATTTTCTGTGGGAAAGTATTCGAGCAATAATTTCTAATGACTTATAAAATCAAAATTTGAAAGTATTACTTTTAATAGCAAATAAGAATAAATTTCATACTATAAACAATTCTCAAAACATATTATTGCCTTTTGAACATCTTAATGTCAAATCTTTCTGCCCAGGATCAAAACATTCCGTAGTTGTCCAAAAGGAGAGAAATGGGCAGGAAAAGAAAAGGTAAAAAATTAGCGGGAGGGAGTAATATAATTTTAAATTCGAAACTTATTAAATAGTTATTAGTAGCAGAATCCTTTTTCATACTCATATTGATCAAGGTGGTTTTAAAATGAAACCTAACTGTGCTTCATATTGGAAAGTTAATAAAATACATGCACAAAGATTTTTTTTTAAGCAATGAGATACATACCGCAAGAGAAGAAGAGGAAAAATCTGGTCACGTGCTCTAGTAACAACAACATTCGCATGGACTAATTAACTAAGAACATGTAGTAAATTTGAGTTTCAGAAAGCAGTGCCTCTTTTTACTCTGTATCACGTGAAGAAATCAGTAAAACAAAAAGACGAAAGTAAATGTTAGGTGGCCGCCATCAGTCATCAAAAAAGCTGGTTGAAGGTCAAAATCAGTGAACTAAAAAATCTAGTATAAGTAAAAAATGTTAAGGATGGAGAATCTCAAATGGATATTTGTGCTTTTCTGTGGGAAATGGAGAACATCTAAGAGAGTTAATGCAGTTGTTAGGATGAGTGAGAACTGAATAGGAGTAATTTATGGCATGTTTCTGAATATAATCGTAAATTGTATCTACTTTGAAATCACGGTGGATATAAGAATTTGGAATGAACCATGGCGCGTTGATTATCTCTCTGAGTGCTTTGTTTTGAAGAACTTGTGTTGAAGGTGAGTTTTGGCAGCGTGGCCCCGGATAGGACTAGCATAGAGTAATGCTGGTCGAAGTATAGATTTATATAAGAGGAGTTTATTAGAAACGGCCTTTTGACTTCTGCCAAGAAGTGGGCGCATAGTTGCAAGCATGATATTGATTTTTTTCACAGTATCCCTGAGATGTTTCTGAAAAATCAATTTTTTATCAAGAATGACGCCTAGATATTTAACTTCGTCAACCCAGTCAATTTCTTCATCAAACAGAAGAGGTCTAGGTGGAGTGAAATTTGTTTGACCTTTGCGAAAAATTATTGCTTTTGATTTTTCGGTATTAACCGCAATCTTCCAAAGTGTGAGCCAATTTTTTAGATGACTGAGGTAATGTTGAAGAAGGAGCTGGACATCAGTAACAGTAGAAGCTTAGGTCATAATTGCAGTATCATCAGCGAAAAGAGCAATGGTAATTTGTGGGTCCTTAGGAATATCGTAAATGTAAATGTTATATAAATATAGAGAAAGAACAGATCCTTGAGGCACTCCAGCGAAAATTTTTCTCGTGGAAGAAACAGAACTGCTAATTTTCACTGCAAAGATGCTTTCTTGGTGATAGGAAGCACTAAGTCTAATACAATGATCGGGGAAGTTTAACTTGATAAATTTGTATATAAGTCCCTGGTGTGATACCCTATCAAAAGCTTTCACAATATCAAGGAAAATGACTTCGGTAGGGAATTTACAATTGAAACCGTCAGCAATATAGTTGATGACACGAAGCAGCTGGTGATTAGTACTGGGTACAGGGTTGCCACTCAAACAGGAGAATGAAATTCCCTGACTTTTCCAGGTTTTCCAGGTACGTTTCAAGAAAATTCCAGTCTATCCGCGTAATGTACACTGCTCAAAAAAAAAAAAAAAAAAAATGGGACAGTGCTATATCTCCCGTTCTACTGGGCCGATTGACAAAATTCAAACTACGTTTTTCATGTCTCGAAAGCGCGACTTAGGATATATATTAGATTTATATATAGTACTATTCTAACATAGGTATTTTGACACACAAAATCGGACTTTTTCTGAAATAACATCCAATTTTTTTTACATATTTCGATTCTACGACTCAAATTATGCCAGAATACCAAGTTTTGTAAAAATCGTACGAATAGTTTTTAAAATATTAGCTCTCAAAATTTTAGCTCCTCAATGTTAATTGAATTTGGCAAATATTTATTAAACCCTCTGAGCGTTATGACCAGGTTTAGATGGTCAAGATGGCCTACCTCGAAAGCGTTACCGACGCTTCTAGGCAGTCAGTGGAAAAGTGTTCGAAAGCGTTACTGACTGTTCTAAGCGGTCAGTGGTGAAGACCTCGAGAGCGCTGTGACCGCCTTAAAGCGGCCGTGCAGATGTGTCAGCGCCTGCCCCCCTTATTTCTGGAACCCTGGAGATCTTTAAATGACATCTCTCAGTAGGAGGCAAAGAGGGTTGCTCTTTTTCGTTTTAGACCGATATGTTTAATCGCCAAGAAAACGCTTGAGCATGTAGTGGTTTTAAAAAGAAACAAACGTGGACATTCTTTGCGAAATAAAAAAGTAGCATGTAAGCATGTTTTTTTCAATACTCTCTTTAAACAGATAACATTTTCATAAAATATCCTTTAGTTTTTAAATTGAATGTTCAGAAATATGCGAAATGCTCGTGAATTCATTAAAAAATAGCATTAGGAAATATTTAAACAAATTATATAGATACATAATTAAAAAAACCGATAAGTTATAAATTTTAATTATTCGAGAGCGAAACGAAGCGCATTTAATTACTGCATTTAATATGAATTATATATAATTACATGTAAAGAATACATAATTAAGCAATAATTCAAATAAAAATTAGCCATCAACAGTAATTTATAATAAGCGTATTTTTTGAACGGGTTTATGAGCATAATCTAATTTCATAGTAATATGGCGAATTATTTATTCATTTTGGAACATATTCGTGGCTTATACTGGTTTGATGAAGTTCTGTTCAAATTCATTCATTTCAATATTCCAAATCTTTTTATGTACATTGACTTCAATGCGATTTTTATTAGAAAAAAATTCAATGAGTTTGATTTTTTTACATAATTGTAATTACAATTGTTCAACGCAAAATAATACAAGCAGAAAGGCAAAGGTGTGTTAAAATTCTGTATTTTGCTATAAAATTATTAAAATAACCAACCTAACAACTGAATGTCCGAAATATAACCCGCAAACTTTTCTAAAAATAACAAATTTCAGTTAAAAAAAAAAAAAAAAAAAAACAACCGCAGTAAAATAAATAAAACGAAATACATTAAGAAAGAAGCACGAAAATTTATTTTTTATATTTACTTATTTTATTTTAGTTCAAAGGGGCAATTTGCCCTGAAGGGCTTTTAATTTCGCTTTGGCATTTTTTCATTGAAAACTATAAATGGCGAATCACTTTTCAAATTGTTGCCACTAAATATTATCGCTCTGTATTATACTTAAAGAAATTAAATATTGAAGAATCTGCATGAATGTACGCATGTTTTTCTCGCATTGTGATAAAACAACGGTACCTAGAGCTATCAAAATTTAAATAACGTAATCTTCCATACAATATGGGCATGTGGAAGCCCTAATTTGAATTTGAAATTTGTTTTATTATCGATTTCATATTTATAACACTTCAACGAATTTTTGATTAAAAAACTATACGATTTCAAAGCGACTATATCAACACCGTACGAAAAAAATCCTATTTTTATCTCCAGCGCGAGAGACTCTAAGATACGGTCATTTTAAAATAATTTTGAGATATGCTTTGAACTGAACTTTATGGTTTGAGTACGTAGAACATGATATTTAATGAGGTAACACACAAAACGTTAAAAACGCTCCTTTGGACGTAGTTTAAAATCTGAAACCTTTCATATTTTTATTTATTAGTCAAAGTGACGTATTAGTCTTTAAACAATAGTCCGTGAGAGACTATTGTTTTAAATACTAATAAAGTTTTCGTTTTTTTGCGATTTTGCGTT